CAGAGTGGACCATGCTGCAGCCCAGGGTTTGACCTGCAAACTTGCTGGGGAATTCAATTATATGAGAATTCGCTTTGCTGTCCTCCAATTTTAGTTGTGAATATCCCTGAAGGACAGTTTTTTAGGGTTTGTGGCTCCCACTGCTTTTTCTGTGCATTTCTGGAGACGAGTGCACACAATATCTCCATAGCAACTTTCTGTGTTGAAAAACAAAGGCTCTCACATCTCAGGTCTAGGAGCAACTTGATGAAAGAGCAAGAAAATGGTGAAACTCTTTATGTGGGGAGATTATAATCATGATATCATGAAGAACAGCCATTTAAAGAGCCCAGTGTTTAATAAAAAGACCCAGCATTACCTCCTGGCTCTGCCATTACCCAGCTGTGTGACTTCATGCAAGTCACTTACCCTCTCTGAACCCCAAATTCTTCTCTCCCACCTGAGGATAAGAATAGTGCCCCATGGGGGTTATTAAGAGGGCAGAACTGAACAATATACCTAAAGAGTTTCCTTAGCACAGAACCTGGACCATTGCAATTATGTTGAAAAGCAGCCTCTACGAATTACGTAACTATGATAATGCTAAGCATTTTCATATTTTCAAAGTGAGTTTGCATACTGTTTCCTGGAGTTCTTCACCAGAGTTGTGAGCTAGGCAAGGATGAACATTATGTCCATTTTGTGGGTGAAGGTACAGGTTCCAGCAAACATTCTAGTTATGTGCTTTCTCAATTGCCTTTACCTGTCTAAATGTCACCTCTTGCCTTTATTATGATTATGGTGCTTGTTTGTTGAGTAGATGAATTTGGGAGGTTCTGGGTTAGGGATAGCTTTGGGTGAAAAGAATATAGGTCTTGATGTCCTTTCAATAATAAACACACGTTCTAGTTTGTAGAAAATCCTGTCTGCTGAATCACTCACTTCTTGTTTTCTGACTGGGTTAAAAAGAAAGACAGAGAGAGAGGCAGAGAGAGAGAGAGAAATGACTGTTATTGATTTACAAGATAGAGTGAGGTGACTCCATTTCCTTCTGGTGACATCTTATTAAGCAGCTGCTCAGTACTGCCTTCCTCTCCCTATCAGGTAGCGTCCAGCCAAATGTCATTTCTCCTATAATCCCCAGATAACTATTTTAATTAAAATTTACAAGAACCATCCAACAGCATGTGATTCTGATTTCCCTTTACTCCAAGAACCAACTAGAAAAAAAAAATTCCCATCAGAGAAAAGGCTGGGAAAGTGTTACTCAACACAACTTGGGGCCTGGTAGCCAAATGGTAGAGTTGAGTGCAGTTGGTTACCTTCGAAGCTGTGACGAATTGCTCCCACCTCTGTCCCATGGACTTGTCCTTATTGATTTTTTTTATTGTGCTCTTGCTTCCACCTGGGTCCCTGATAAGAAACAGCTTAATGAGTTTTCCATTGCCAGAGCTTCATTTAAGTTCTTTTAAGAAATGCAATCAATTGAGGATGAATGGTAGGTGGTCTCTGTTAGGATTCCCGCCCCACCCTGCCCCTGCCCCGCACTTGTGAAGAAGTGGAATGGACAGTTCTCCAAAACTGGGTCTTCTGAGTGAAACTGAGGTTAGGAGAGACCACCACTTATTGGGTAGGGGTTAAGGGAGGTGGCATAGATATGTATGCTTTTTGCATCTATTTCCATTGTGGGCTGGGGTCCTCTCATAGACTCCCTGGCGGGTCAGTGGTTTCTCCTGGGGGTGAATTGAAAAGTGTGTTTATTTGTGTTTATTTCTGAATCTCTTCTGCTTGTTCTGTTACCTAAAGTTCCCACCATCAGGGATACTTCTGAATAACACAGAGAATTACTGGGTGGGGTTGTGCGGAGCTGGTGAGGTAGGTTACACAACGAAACTCACTGACTTGAGGTTTATTGAGAAAAGTTCGCTACAATACTACCTGCAAGACGCTTCTGTGCCTTCTCACCGCATCATCTCAATCATCATAACCTGTGATATAGTTATTGTCATCCCATTTTACAGATGAGAAAAGCTCAGGGGGCTTAAGTCACTTACCCAGATGCAGATTTACAATGAAACTAATGAAACTTAAACTTCGGGGTCCCTCACTTACCAGTGTAAGGTCCTTCCTCCAGGGCCTTACACTTAACTTTGTATTGTAATTTTGTGTTCTTTTTCTTAAAGTGCCCCCCCTCCAATTAAATAATCTTCAGGCCCCACAGAAACTAGGTCCTCCCCTCTCGGGTTGGGAACTTTCTAGAGAGGAGACTGAGGTCCCAGCAGGCTCTGTTGGTGACATGCCAATAATCTTTTATCTGAAACCCGAGGACCAGGTGTGTTGACAAATTAATAATTTTGACATTTTGGAAAGGAGATATACTGCTTATATGATATGTTAACATAATCCCTCCGATGGGGTCTGGGGCAGCATCTTGTAATCAAACACATTAATATTTCTGCAATGAAATACATGGATGTTTACACTAAGTGGGATAAATAGACTGTAAATAGCTTCAAGTCAAGTTTTGACACCAAATCAATTTGGTTCATGTCAGATTTTTCTGCCAAATGAGTTGTGAAAAAGCTGAGTTTGCAGAGGCTTTTTGATTTTGGACTTGTGGCTATGGGGTGCCAGGTCTCTACTGATAAGCAATAGGGAGTCTCAGTGTGTGATGTCTCAGCTACTTTTACCAATCTATTGATTGATTGACTGGCCTATCAGTCTCTCTATCCATCTTCTAC